GCTGTGAAAGTCTGACTCACAGACGAACACAATACAGAAGCCTGATGATGGCAGATGAGATTCTGCCGAAACGTTGCTACAACTTTAAAAGCACAACTATAATGACATGGGAAAATATCCGAACAAAGCTGCAAAAAAGAAGGAAGTAACATTGAACATGTAATATTGCTATAATATATTTGTGATTGAGTATTTAATGGAGTGTTGGAGGTCTAATGGAGGTCTAAATAACTCCAACATTTGTAGACCTAGGTACCCCTAATCTTATTTGCAAGCAATATGGGGAGTCCCCTGTGTGTCCTAGCTGCATATCAAGTTTTGAACATTTCGATCTTAAAACCCAAGGTGCCAATGCTGGTGTTTATACTTGTGAGACAATTCCATCTCTTCCATCACAATAACGAGAAAAAAAAATCTCCATCTTCAACAGAATAATGCGAAACAAACAAATAAATGAACCCATCCCTGCCACTGTGAGTCACAGCAATTAACAATGCATTAGCATTGAAAGCCAAAGTCACAGCATGGAAGTATTAAAAGCAGTCAGCAGAGATAGCTTGAAGATCATTTTCTCTCCCCCGCCCCTTCTTCTTTAAAATAAAACAAGGTGAAAAAAGTTTGAGGCTAAACAAAAGCGGCCCAACTTTGATAGAATCATGGAAAGTCATGTTCCATGGAAAGGGAGAGAGAAAGGCAATCTCGCCCAGGTTTCCAGGGGTTCCTCAGAAGCTTATCTAGGCTTCATGAGTTTCTCAGCCAAGAAAATAAGCAGCAGGTAGACAAACATTTTGAGTTATAGTTCAATATGTTCCATGATGACTGCCTACTGTCCCACAGCAGGAAAGGCATGCACCAAAACATCGAGAAACATTTAAAATTGGCCCAGATCTCTAGGCGTGTCATCAGTCTCATCCAAAATCTCAAGCAAAGACTCAAGATTTTAGAAACTCGTGGGGTTTTGTCTGTTTTTATTTTAAGAAATGGCTTATATTTAATTTGGATCTCCAATGCGCATGTCAGCCCTGCAGGAAGGTGTAGCAAGCCACCTTCTTCAGCCCGGTGTTTTCCAAAGGTAGTGTCAACTCGTAAAGCATTCCTGGACTACTCTTGAGTTACCATAGGCAGGTGTGGGGAGAACTGATGGAAAAGCTCAGTTGCTATGACCAGAAGCACAATCCATGCATACCTTTCTCCAGATTGTATCCCAGGTTACTAGAGAAAGCTGGAGCGGCGTGTTTTCTACAGCCCACAAAAATGCTCTGTTGGAGAATGTCATGTATGACACAGCCTGGGAGGAGGGGGGAAATAGGGTCATAGGTGGGCAGTAAATTATGTGGAGCAGAGCCGACTGCACTTGGGAAAGTGCCGACATGTTGCTCTTAATAAATAATTGGATTTCTTTTAAAACTTGGCTCAAGGCTCATGAATTAATTAGGGCATCTGTCAGAACCCTGACATTTAGTGGACTTCAACTTCCAGAAATCTGAGAGTGGTAGTCCCTGTACATCTGGAAGACCTCAGGTTGGAGAAAAACCATCACTGCTACCTTGAATCAAGACTCTTATGTCTTCCTCTTATGACTTCAAAGACAAATTCACAGAGAAGGCTATGAGCAAATCTGAGTATCTGCGGTCATCCAGATTACAGAGTGCATTTCTTTGAATATCAGAGGCTATGGAGCAACCAAAGAAGGAAATTGAGTTGGCCTTTGCAGGAAACAACACTCAAATGGAAAAAAACACACACCACAGAATAGCATAGGATATGTTCTAAAATGTTTATAGGAGACCAGCTCTGCAGGCCTCTCTACCACCCAGAATGCTTTCAGCAGTTGCATACAAAACTGGATTAGCATAATGTCTTCTTCAACTTTTCCCCCTTTAACAAATAACGTCTACCCAAGAGGGTGAATTGAATCCTTACTTGGCTTCCAAAGCTAGAGCAATGATCCCAGCTACCATGGGGGCAGAAACGGAAGTCCCCGTGTGGCCATCTGTGCAATGTTTCTTCAGATCGGTGGTCATCTAAGAAGAAAGTGAATGTAACTATCAGCCAAGCTGGAAAGGGAGAAACAACATTACAATCACATCGCATAGCCCAGATTTTGTGCAACCATAAATGGCCACGATCAAGGAGATACAGTACCAACGGGTCTTTGGCTTCCAACAGTAGGTCTTTTCATTCATTCTTTTTTTTTTTAAAAATGGGGCAAATGAGATTATTTGAATTGCTATAAGCTCTTCCAAACAAGAGGTTTAGTAGGACTGGATCTCCAATGTGCATGGATCTCCAACGTGAATAAAAAGGTTGAGAGAAAAAAATCAGAGCTAGTCCTTTCCTCTGTGATCTAACTTTCAACAAGGAGAACTGTCTAACTTGGACCTGAGTAATAAAATAAAATGAATTATCTTTAAGCAGTTTATGGAATCTGGGAAGCATGGTGACTCCATAATCTTGTGTAAAATATTTTCACTGAATTTTGGCTTCCCACAGCAAAGGCAATGCTACTAGTGATGTTTGGGTGTGGCAGGTATGCAATTTAACTGATCAAGGTGCTCTGTATTGCTTCTGTAGTCATTTACTGGCTGGAAGATCTACCAAACGCCCATGCAGAAGCTTTATCTATATGGACAGCCCTCATTTTTGTTGTTAGTTGCAAAGTCGTGTCTGATCCATTACAACCCCATGGAAAAAATTCGTCCAGGCCTTCCTGTCCTCTACCATCCTCCGGAGTCCATTTAAGCTCACACCTACTGCTTCAGTGACTCCATCCAGCCACCTCATTCTCTGCCATCCTTTTCTTCTTCTTCTTTTGCCCTCAATCTTTCCCAGCATTAGGCTCTTCTCCAGTGAGTCCTTCCTTCTCATGAGGTGGCCAAAGTCTTTGAGTTTCATCTTAAGGATCTGGCCTTCTAAAGAGCAGTCAGGGTTGATCTCCTCTAGGACTGACCAGTTGGATCACCTTGCAGTCCAAGGGTCTCGCAGGCATCTTCTCCAGCTCAAGAGTTCAAGGGCCTCAATTATGTCACATAAACAATGCAAAGTTTCATTTGTTACAAGCAGGAGCCTGCATAGATTTGCCAAAGAGAAGCCGAGCAAAGTCCTGCTGCTTCAAAGTTTTACTCTATTTACTTACAATCTGCCGCTCGTAGAAGGCCCCGCTGCTATAAGTTGTGGCAAGGGTGGAAGCGCACTCCTCCAAATACCACGGCTTGTTCCCATTCTCAGTGGTGCTGCTAACAGAGATGGTGTAGACGCTGTTGGTGTACCCATCGCAGGAACAATGGTCCCCTTCTCGGCCACCATTTCCAGAAGCCCAGACAAAAATAGAACCTCGTCCTCTACGACCCTGGGCATTGGGGGAAGAAAAAGGGTTGGAAAGAGAATTGAGACTTTACTTAAATGACTAAATCTCTACCCATCATGAACAATGTTCATTGAATGTAACCTCCAAAAAGAAGCGCCTGCCCAGTTTTATTCTCAGGAAATAACTTGTGTAAATTCCCACCATATTCACCATGGTGGAAAAATACATATGACCAAACATAAAGCATTTTGCAAAGGGATTTTACCTTTCAAAGGGAATATTTGGAGACATTACAGGAAGTCCTCGGGTTATGGCCACAATTGAGCTCAAAATTTATGTTGCTAAATGAAATATGTATGAAATTGCAGAAAAAAATCATTTTACAACTTTTCTTGCCAGAATTGTTAAGTGAATCATTGCATTTGTTAAGTGACTCCAGATTCCCCATTGCTTTTGCTCATCAGAAGGTTGCAAAATGACCCCGGGACACTGCAACCATCATAAATATGAACCACTTGCCAAGCATCTGAATTTTGATCACATGACCATGGGGGATGCTGCAATGGTTGTAACAGAGGTGGGATTCAGTAGGTTCTGATCAGTTCTGGAGAACCAGTAGTAGAAATTTTGAATAGTTTGGAGAACTGGCAAATACCACCTCTGACTGCCATCCATTCTCTGCCTCCTGAGTCCCAGCTGATCGGCTGGGTCTCCTTTGGTTGCCCTGCACAGGAGAATGGAACTGGAAAGCAGGTTAGTAGGATGGGGAGGGAATGGGGATTTTACAGTATCCTTCCCCTGCCATGTCCACCAAGCCATGTCCACCAAGCCATGCCCACAGAACCGGAAGTAAAAAAAAATGAATCCCACTACTGGGTTGTAAGTATGAAAAACGGTGGTAAGTCACATTTTTCAATGCCATTGTAACTTTCAACAGTCACTAAATGAATTGTAAGTCAAAGACTACCTCATCTCAAGCCTTCATCCCATAAGCATTAGTGCAAATTTCTTTTGATGGAGCAGTATGGCATATGTTTGTGTGTATAAAGCAATATAGATCTTGGAAGACTGAGAAGTTGTAGGTGAAACTGAATCCTCCACCCAACCCTTCACTAGAGTTATCCTGGTCTCATCCTAAAGACAGACCACATTCCAAATTCAGAACAGATTGCAGAAAACTATATAGATTTTAGTTCTAGATAGTCTTTCATTTGAAGGTTACGGAAACAGGAAGCATGAGTGAAGCATGAGTGGGAAGACATGCCACTTCCTTTACAGCACTAAAGGAACAGGAGAGTTGACCCTTGGAATAGGGAAGGGATGAACTTAAGAGAGACTTTCAAAATTACATAGAGAAAGAGAAGAGGCTGAGAAAGAAACACAAGAAAACCCTGCCTCCATTTGATAAAATGGGACAAAGACAAATTTGGACAGGCTTTCAAGATTCCATCATTCTACCATATGACAATAAAGAATATTTTTGGAATATTTCCAGTCCCTGTTCCTCCTCTTGGCCTATTTTTGAGGGCTCATGCCAAAAATAAGAGTTGTGGCTAAACACATCTGGTTGCAGAAAATTGAATAGAGGAGCCACAGACAAAAAAAAGGAGCAACACATTTGGATTCCACGTCTGCGTTCAAAACTGCAGAAAAGAAACAAAGGAGATTGTGGGATATCTAGCTCTGGTTCTAAGAAGGTTAAAATCAATCAATCAAGAGCTGGAAGGGACCTTGGAGGTCTTTTAGTCCAACCCCCTGCTCAAGCAGGAGACTCTATACCATTTCAGATAGGTGGCTGTCCAGTCTTTTCTTGAAAACCTCCAGTGATGAAGCATCTACAACTTCTGGAGGCAAGCTGTTCCACTGGTTAATTGTCCTCGCTGCTAGAAAGTTTCTCCTTAATTCCAGGTTGCTTCTCTCCTTGATTAGTTTCCAACCATTGTTTCTTGTCTTGCCTTCCAGTGGTTTGGAAAATAAGCTGACCCCACCCCCCCTTCTTTGTGGCAGCCCCTCAAATACTGGAATACTTCTATATATTCATATTATATACCTATGTATTTAGATGTATTTAGATATACGACTACATCTATGGCTAGATCATGCATTGATGCAAAATGGAGAACAGAACCTGAAAAAGAGCAATAAAGGCCCCCACCAGTGAGAAGAGAAAACGGGGTGGCTACCTTTTTAATGCCATGTTCAAATGCTTGCTTGGCCAAAGGACCAGGTCCATCCACCGTGCGGCCATCATCATCTGGACCCCAACTAGCACTGTAGACATGGATATATTCTGGTTTGGCACCAATTGCTTTGGCTTCCACCACATCTGTCACGTCCCCATCTAGCATTCGGATGCCTGAAAGAGAATTCACCCAGGTTTTTTTTTTTAAAAAAAACAAAGGACAAAAGAAATGGTTTGGGATAGCCCTTTGTACAGGTGACAAGGACAACAATCCAAGGCTTTTGTTCAAAGTGCAGCCCGGAGCATGAATGGCTCTCTTTCCTTGAAAGGATTGGTCATTGAGATTACCTAGAGAACTATCCCTTTGGGCAGAATCAATCCACTTCGGAATGAATCCTCAACCAGCTGGGGCTTCTGTAGTACCTTCAGGATTGGCTTCTGATACAAAGCGTTAAGACAGTGTGCCTGGAAGGTTACCAAGCCACGGATACTCATCTCTGGCCAAATCCACAGCTGCTCTATAATGAGCAGAGCCGTCTCTGAGAGGAGAGGATTGTTTTGTGCATAATTCTGGCACACCCACCACAAGCAACACCTTGCAGGATAAACAAAAATGGAGGGAGCAGGAGAGGAGAACACATTACAAGCCCAAAGGCAGATGGAACATTTGCACAGTGAGGCATAAGTTGGTTATGGAAATATATAGGGTGAATTATTCTCCTCTGATGAGTCTGGACACCGGTCCAGCAGCTAACAAACAGGGCTTTCCTGGAAATGGATAAAGCAAATAAGGCATGGTCCACCAGAACGCTGGCCAGGTCTCTTCCAAATGAAATGGGAACTAGGAAACAGCTGAGCCTGCTGGATGAGGGCAGAAATCCTCCTTGATTTATGGTGTTTTTAATTTTTTTTTTATAGAGATAAAAATGCAGCCAAACTGACAAAAAGGAAAGGCTTAGCCTTGAATGAATGAATGAATGAATGAATGAATGAATGAATATACATGAACCAGTCTCAAAAAATTCTAGCAGCTTGATTCATTCTTTCTATAAAGAGGAACAAGTGATTATTTATCACAGTTTAAGAGGCTTACCATGGGTGGCAACACTTAGGAGAAAGGGGCAGCCAACGGTAATCATAGTGCCTAATATTGTTAAGTACAAAGGCCTCTGTTTAGTTTTAAGAGATTTCATTTTTTTTCTTTCTGCACATATTTTTTCTTAAGAAAAACAAAAGACCAAGAGGAAAAGTTAATTACAGCTGCAGCTTTACTGTGGATTGCAGGTTTTTTTAATAAACCCTCCTGAACATTATCCTCCTCCGACAGTACAAAATGAATCTAGGCAGTTTAACAAAAAAAATCCCCAAAACCGTCCCCTGAGCTGAATTCAAACCAACATTGTGCGGCAGGCTTATTTCTATAATTGTTCAAGGCCAGACTCTACGTTCCTCCGAAGATAATTGGTTGGGTAAAAAGGAACATACAAGGCAGTTTCAACTCACTAAACAGAAATGCATCTACATTCACTCATTAGGGAATAAAAGCATGTAGAAATAAATAACACAACTGGTTGCAAAATTCGTAGTTTGCGTTTAGGAAATATGATTATGTCTCATTTAATGAAGGGCTCTAGGTCTCACTATAATGGGAAAAGTGAAAAAACTTGCAGGAAACCAAGAAATAAGCTAAATGGAAGCGGAGACAGGATTTTGATCTTAGAAAAGTTAGATCCTCCACTTGAGTTAAGGTAGAACTATAGTATTACACATACTTGGTCTGCTAATAGCACACAGGTTTGTAAGGACCAGTTACAGAGGAAGACCTCTGATTATAAAGAACCTCAATACTGAGATTCTACAATGTTAGGCTTCACAAAACAAAACTTGCGTAGAACTTTAGCATAATGTCTCTCCCAGAAACCAGATTTCTGAATTTATGATTAATCGTGCTGCTCAAAATCATGCAAAACCTATTTTAGTTAACTCTCCTTCCAATGGTCCCAAAGGTGCTTTTTCTGGAGGCAACTGGACTTTCTTATTTTTTTCTTTTGAAGACGTTTCACTTCTCATCCAAGAAACTTCTTCAGCTCTGACTGGATGGTGGAGGAATGAAAGGATTTATATTCCTTGCAGACAGCTGGTCGTTTGCATCCTTTTAGAGGGTTGTTGAAGCGGTTGGGGGTTTATCTGTGTCCTCAGGGTAACCTGAGTAGTGCTCCTGGTTCCTATAGTCTGCAATTTTTTTCCTCTGGAAATCCATTTCTACTGAAAAATTGCACTACAGGGACCAGGAGCATTACTGAGGACACAAATAAACCTCCAAGTGGCCTCAATAACTCTCTAAAAGGATGCAAATGACCAGCTGTCTGCAAGGAATATAAATCCTTCCATTCCCCACCATCCAGGCAGAGCTGAAGAAGCTTCTTGGATAAGAAGCAAAGCATCTTAAAAGAACAAAAAACAAGAAAGTCCAATTGCCTCCTGAAAAAGCACCTTTGGTACAACCATGATCTGGAGGACTGAGAACCTCTACAGACTTTTTCTCCTTCCAGTTGAGCTCAGCTCTCAAGAACAGGTCCTTTCTCAGCAAGAATGTGGAATTGGTTTGTAAGTGTTTTCCTCCAGGCTATTTTTATCTAGCTACAGCCATGGTATTTCGAGCAGAGTCAATAATGCAATATGGTAACCCTCCATCAAAAGAAACTGGCAAATATGAATTGAGAGAAAGTTACGGTTAAGAATCTCTGCCTTTATCAATTAAAAAAAAAGACAGTGGTTCTTAACCATAACTTTCTCTCAATTTGTATCAACACAAAAAGTTGTGGACATGGAAGCATCCTTGACTGATAAATTGCCCGCAGAAAAGGCAAAAATCTCTTTTAAATTAAGCTTGATACCTCCTTTGAAAACAGAGTAGTTACTGTAATTCTTGTGCTGGAACTAATAAATATGGTTAATTAGAGCTCTTAGATTCTTATTCTCTGAATGAACTTTTTTTTAGATGGTAAAGAAGAAAGCCCGACAAGGGAAAGAATTAGCTTCTTCCTTCTCCTTTCACTTCCACGGGGGTGGATTAAATTCAAAACACCCCATCTTCTTTATTTCACTTTCTCTAAAACAGCCCTCCAATATCTAAAGGTCATGTTTACATTGCACACTAAATCTAGGTTTATTGAACCATTGTTGACATTCTAATTGGTTGGGTTTAAAAGCACAGTAACAAGGCAGTGTAGCTATTTCATGCAAGTGATTGATTGATTGTGTGCTATGAAGTTATTGTCAATTCTCAGCAGCCACATAGATAAATTGTCCCAGGGACTATTTCAACCAAATCTGGCTTTTCATGGTGCACTCATCACCACGGTAAGTGTTTAATATTAAATAAACACATTCATCGGATCACATTTCAATTCTTACTGTGTTACAGAGCCCCTGATTATGACATCAAACATGTAAACAAGCTAAATTCACTACTAACATGGGCAACATCCTGCCCACACACTTTTATCTTTCTTGGTGACTACAATCTACCTCACATTAACTGGACCCTAAACGAATGTAAAACTGAACCCATACATGCAACTTTCTACAATGCTGTAACAAATCTGGGACTGGAACAACTAGTAACCAACAATACTAGACTTAACAACTGCCTCGTTCTCATCTTCTGCAATAGTTTGAATTCAATTTACGGAATACAAATTAAAGAACCCTTTTCCAACGGTGACCACAGCATGATTGACTTTTGTCTCAACATACGTCCACACAAAAATCAACACAATGATGTGACCCCCCAATTATTACTTCAAAAAAGGCAACTATGGTCTTATAGACAACGATCTCTCATCCCTTCATTGGCAATTTCTATTCACTGGATGCAATACTGTTGAAGACTATTACAACATATTTTTACTTGAAGTCAAAAGAGTCATCAAACTATATGTACCAATAACAACTCCCAAAACCAGAAAAAACAGATTACCCATAACAATAAGGAAGCTTCAATCCAAAAAGAGATTACTTTAGTGGAAAAACAAATCTGGTCACGTTGCCAATTTCAAAAGCCGATACAAAAATTTATGCCACCAGATAAAGACTGAATGCACCAATTATCACATTAAACAAGAGGAAAACCTTTTACACACCAATTCCACCTGCACTTTCTACAATTTTGGAAACAACAAACTAAAAGACTCAATGTCAGCCTTCAAGATCTTTTCTACTTTTCTACTGCTTTGCATCTTTCGGCTGCCATGAGTAACGGGGGGAGGGGTCGCATCTGAGAAGAGAGCTGGAGGTGTTACATTCTTGTGTTGTATAAATGAGGAGTGGGGGGGAGTATAAATTGCTGCTCTTAAGTTTCTATTTCCTTGCTTAGCCTTCTTTCCTTTGCGCAACTGCGAATCTTTATCAAAATATGGCAAGGTCAATGGACAGAGGCCTCATCACTTCCTGAAGATGCCCACATGATCATATTCAGAACTTTTAATTGGAAGAATCTTTTGAACTTTGGGGGGTGGGAACAATTCCATCCCTTTGTATATGTGATCTGCGCACCTAAATCCTTAGATTCAGAATTCAACCTGTAGCTTCCACTAGAGGAAAGATATCTTTCCTCTAATCTATGGAGTTTAAGTATTTCTTTCTTGGATTTTGAATGGAGCACAGACTGTCACTCATGGTCCATCCCACCCTGAAAGGACCAAATGATGACACCATTAAAGCCAACCTCTTTAACACATTCTTTGGCTCAGTATTTGTAAACAGCAATGGATCATGCCCAGTATTTCCTAGTCAAACCACAGACAACTACAGTGATCTAATACATATCAATTTTACAGAAGACAATGTTGGAAAAGTACTATGCAATCTAAAACCATCTCTGTCTATTAGACCGGACGGAATATGTGCCTACTTCTTAAAAAAGCTATCCACTGCCATAGCCAACCCTTTAAGCATAATCTTTGAAAAGTCTTTCAGGACCAGCTCCTTGCCAAAACTATGTTCCCAAGCCATGGTCATTCCCATCTTCAAAAAGGGAGACCCCAGCCTAGTTGAAAATTACAGACCAATCTCTTTATGCTGCATCACCTGTAAAGTCATGGAATCAATTATTAACCAATCCATTATTCTCCACTTAGAGACAAACAACCTACTCTCCAATAAACAATTTG